CCCGGAAGCGCTGATAGTAAGATCTACACAGTGGCTACACTCACGGTTCGCAATCAGGTCAGCGCTTCAGCTCACAGGACCGCAGTTCACACTGTTAGCTCACATCACAGATACAGCAGCAGCCTTTATTCGGCCTTTTTCTACCTTTTTAGAGCTGAAACCGCTGCTTTTCCGTGTTACCCATAACCCTTTGCGGCTCATATTCAAATACTGTGCTGCTGCGGCGCTGTGGAGCTGCCGGCGCTGGAGGAGGAGTCACTGTGGATCAGTTTAACCGCCCGTGTGATGGTGTGTGTGTTTCAGGTGGTTTTACTGGGGATGGATATCCTGTCGGCTCTGGTGAGCCGGCTGCAGGAGAGATTCAGGACACAGGTTGGAACTGGTGAGCCTCTCCTCGTTATTTACTGCACACATAATAACAGTATAACAACATGAGCTTCAGCTTACTTTTAAAAATGACTTTAACCTGTTTTTGTTAGTTTTAGATAGATGTATTTATACTAAAATAATACTTTGTGCATTAAAAAAATCTGTTATTTTATTAAAGATTTAGAAATGTTACAAAATGTATATAAATATGTATTCTTTACATTTTTCTCAAATTAAAAGTGTTTAATTTACATTTTGATGCACCTTGAGTGTCTTTTATTTTATGTTTTCATTGCAAATCTCTACATGTGTGTATTAAATGTAATTTATATTATTATTTGGCTTATTTGGCTTAAATGGCTGGAATGATAGTTCGATATACTAAAATATCAAACACTGCAATTAAAAAAACCACACTTAAAAATGAAAGAACTGTGTTTTCTTACATTTACACGATGGTGTGTGATAGGACACCAGCAAGAGGGTTTATAAAGTGATAGCGAGACCTGTTAGAGAGAAAAGAGCCTGCTACTCACATTAAACACAACAGTTTGAATCAATAAAAGAGAAAACACTGCAAATAGTTAAAAACAGTTTACAGGAACCAGCTTCTCAGACTGACTGTTAGAGCCAAATATTTATTCCAAATGTGTGACCTTATTTCTAGTAGAGGGGTTTGTGTCCATCATCATGTCTTCTCCAGTGTTTAACTGGTTCAAACCGGTCTTTTGTAGTTTTAGTATTTAAAGGCTGAGTATCATGAACACGTGTCATGTTAGTCTAATTGTGTCTTTCTGAATACAGACTATTTTTAAAGGCTTTGAGTTCAGCAGAATTAGTTTTTAACTAGTTTTCTCACATATCGTGCTCACTTCTACAAAAATTATTTGAAACTTTAAGCCAAACTCCGTGATACAGTGTGGCCAAACACACGTTTTATGTTATTTTTGAAGTGTTGTGAGGAAGTACTTTTGATTTCAAATGTATTTATTTGTCTGCATTAGACAGTTCCTCCCATTCCTCACTGTTACTATGATAAAACCACCGATACAAGAAGGATTTCATTCATGTGGCTCACAGATATTTAATCCCATTTTACTCTGTGCTTCTCTTATTTAAACTTTAATAATCCTCCGTAGACTTAATGTTTATATCACAGCCATTATTTTCAGTCTTTCACTTAACTTACTCTCTGTGCTTGTATGGAAGTAATGGAAGTCATCTCTATAATCAGATGACACGAGTGCAGCAATAAGAAAATTGATTCAGTACTCAGAGTTCACACAACACAGTTTCAGCTTCAACAGATGATTTTATTTTCCTGACCAAAGCTTAGATTCTCTCTATATTTCTCCTAGTTTGAGAAACACTGCTTTAATATCCAAACATGGAGGTTTTTGCTTTAGATTTTAAGCTTTCTCTGTGATATCACTGCAGGCTGTAAACACCAACTCTCGCTTCCTGTTTCAGTCCTGCCCAGTCTTATCGATCGACTGGGAGACGCCAAGGATCAAGTCCGAGAGCAGGACCAGGCACTTCTGCTGAAGATCATGGACCAGGCTGCAAACCCTCAGGTACACACACTCTTCATCTTATCTCCTTTTTCAAACCTTTGGTCACAGGAGATCCACCTTAACAGAAATACGTTCAATTACCATCAACATTTGTTGAATTTAAGTGCATCCCGGGAGCTGATATTTCATTCAAACAACTGTTTTGCACGATATAATAACCTCATGGTGGTGCTGACCTATCGCATCTGGTGTCATAACTCTGGAAACTACAGGGAAAAAGACGGCACAGGAGAAATTTTGCCATCAGGCATTTAAATTCAAATTTAAACTCACAGAAAAGTAAATTACAATAGTCTAACACTCACATTTCCACACGCATGTTTGGATTTATCCACCACTGTGTCATCCTCCAACAGAGCGTCACCATAACGTTACAGGTGACATGTTAATGTCTCTCTGTCTTCTCCCTGTGTTCAGTATGTGTGGGAGCGAATGATGGGAGGATTCAAGCACAAGAACAACAGGACCAGAGAGGGACTCTGCCTGTGTCTCATCTCAACTTTAAACGTGTAAGTTATTAATATTATTGAGAGCAGTAACTGATTTATAATGTAACAGCAGGTTTGGCGCTTATATTTGGGACTCTGTTAACTCTTTGTTTGTTTATTTA